CCTGTAGAAACATCTTCAAGTTACATCGTGAGGAGCCCATCCTAGTTCTGGTGGTGGTATTTTATATAAAGCGCTGTGGCCCTGCAGGGTCGCAGGTTGGAGGTGAGAGGCCATTCTAGCCATTCCTGGATCACATTCGAGGGTGTGTGGGTTCATACACATTCCTTTGTTTTGCATGCTTAAGAGGAATGTGACACGGATTACTGGACTTTCCCGTGTGTACTTGAAGTGTCTTGCGAGCCAGAAAACAAAAAAAGGTCTCCCTAATATACAACATAAAATATATGTCCTCTATATAGTCGGATCGCAAACATCTAACACATAACTACCAATGTGAAAAAAATGTGAATAAAATCCTATAATGTTGCGCTCCCAAAACACTCCAATTTATATATGGAATCACTTTATCTATGTCCTAAGAACCATATGCAGAAAAAATAAAAAAAATATATATAATAAATCAAATGACATAAAAAATATACTGAATTGATATTAAAAGAAACCTCTGTGATTATACTAAAATAAGACCTGTGATTGATGAATATAACTCCACTTATAAAAAATTATTCAAATGATCATTGTGCATAAATAAATTAATAAATGCATATGTGAAAACAGTGTCTCATATAATAAAAGTGACTTTGTGCTGTTAATTAATCTTCAATCCATATTGCATGTGAATCCGTGACTGATTGTGAATCCTCCCATTAGTGCAGATGTACGCTCACCTCCTTCTCTGCCTATAATTAGGCTATATGCGCTTTTGGTTCTCCTCCTATGGAACCTACTTGACTAGGACTCCCTCCTTTGGAACAATGGATATCCGCCGCTATTAACATATGCTCTGGGATTGATCCCTTCTCCAGAGGATGCAACTCCTCTATACTCTCATCTCCATACGGCTCTCCACATAGGAAAAAGATCTCAACATGGTGTTTTATCCTTTATAAAGATTGGCTTTATTGACTCCAAGTATAACACTCACATGTGTTGTATTCAAAATCCGTATCACAATATGAACCGAGTCCTCCGCTGACTGTCAGAGGCATGCACCCGTGGTCCGGCAAATGAACTGACTCCCTCCGAGTGACGTTACAGTCCCACCCCTACGCGTTACGCCACTGGTCACGTGGCTTCATCAGGGGGATTCATCCATTCATAGATAAAGTGATTCCATATATAAATTGGAGTGTTTTGGGAGCGCAACATTATAGGATTTTATTTCCCGTGTGTACTGTTTGCAGTGCTTGTGTGGAGAAAGGACTTTTTATTTGTTCCTGCACATGTGGATTGCTTCACTATTCCAAGGCTTATGCTAGGAATGAGGATTTAGTTATTTCACTTGGTGATCACTTTATCATACTTTGTCTTTGTTTAAGCGCTACATCATTTATTTATATGTATGTGATTATCACAAACATTACCTGGCTGAAGATAGCATGGGATTTGCAACTTCAAAGCCTGGGCTGGTAGAGTTACCAACAGCTCTGGCTCCCTTTGGCTCCAGTCCCCCAGGCATATAACCTGCATCACAGCATGGCAGCATTTAGTCTGTCTGGGATATTGCATATGCTCTGGGACTCTTAGGGAAGGGGACACTTCTGGTTCAGGAGAGTCAGAAGATGAGGCCAGTAAGGAGGGAGGGCGAAGAGATCCCAGTCATATTTCCAGATCTTTGGTCATCACCATGGCCAGTATCAAACATGGCAGCAACATACCAAACTCAGCGTTCCCTGCTCACATAAATCCAGTCATATTAATACAGCTGGCATAGTCTTCAGTTATCTCTATCCCTGGTAACTACATTCAGTCTATTGTCCCAGCAGCCAGATGGGTTCTTCACCATCCAATACCCAAACAACTCATCCTACACAAAATGTAAAGTGTTCAACATCGCTTAAAGTGGAGTTCCACCCAAAATTCTGCTTTACGGCCTCCTCCCCCACTTCTGGTTAAGAAATTACACTTTTGGGGAACGTGGGGGGGGGGGGAGCAGGTACCTAATTTTGACAGGTACCCACTCCCACTTCCACTCCAACCCCCTAGATGATTGGAAGTTGAAGTTCTCCTTCCCCCTCCCTCTCCGCAGTCTTCTGGGACACATGACATGGCCCAGAAGACTATGGGACCATTCACATGTGCAGTTGGCACCTGTATCTGAAGCTGCAAGCTGTCACCCACAGTTAACCATTTCCCATCTGGTCCATGTAGATAAACGGCCAGACGGGATCACTGCCAAAGCGGGTGAACATTTATAAATGCCCCCCTGCATCCATTGCCGGTGTGCGCTCCCTTTGTGAGTTCCCGATTCATGTGATCACTGATTGGCCAATCAGTGATCACATGAATAGTAGTAAACTATTACTTCCTGACACCATTGCTTACTACTTGTGAAATCTGTGAATGTTCACAGAGGTCACATGGTACAAGGCTATTTACAACAGTGACAATTTACGACATGTGACAGGGCCCTGATGAAGTCACATGTTAAGCGTGACAATACGCGTTGGTGGTGACGCACTTCCGGTCGGACGCCTTCTTTATTTACATTGGACACCCATGCAAGTACATCTGATCTGAGGGATCAAGTGTCTGCAGCCACCTTATGTGCCTGAAGAGGAGATCTGCTGCCCTGTGAGCCTGTGCTTGAATCTGTGCATAAGGGGAGGTCAGTGTGGAGAGCTGTGGAGGATTACCTACTATTAAGGGTCCATGTGTTAGTGATCCTGAAGGCCTTTTGACCCTGTGCGGGTCGCAAGAGGGAGGTGAGCGTGCAATTCAGCCATTTTTGGATATGCACATTTATCAGCACTTTTTTTTTTTTTTTCTTCTTCAAGAATTGCTGTGGACTTTATATATGGTTTTTTGTATATTGTCAGGTGTTTTACACCTCACGGGACTTTATGTATTTATTCATTTATTCATGTTTGTTTGCATGATCAGTTCTTAGTTTATGCGTTTATTGGGATGCACGTGTGTTTTGTGTTATATGGTGGGAACTGATTTTTAGTTCCGGTGGGAGGTTTTTTTAGCACATTGAGTCCTGTTGTGACTTATTTGTTTGATTTGGAGCACTATTGGATCCCATTGGATTACTTGGGGCACCATTTATGTTATTTGGTCCTTTTAGGACCTCGTATTGACACTTGTCACATGTGAATATTTATGAGTTCTTTGGCACTATTTAATATTGTGTGTTTATGTTATTTGTGTCACTAATTTTGCACTGTTTCACTTATTCATTTATGTGTAAAGAATTTTTATGGTAGTAGCGCTGCATCATTTGTGTTTCATGTAGCAGAATACATTTTGGCCTAAATTTATGATGAAATTTTAGTTTTTTTGGATATTTCTTATGACCTAAAGGAGAAAATATTGTTTTTTTTTTAAAAAAAATTTTTTCTTCAAAACTTTTCCTGGTTATAGCGCCAAAAATAAAAAGTGGACAGGTGATCAAATACCACCAAAAACTCTATTTGTGTGAAAAAAAGGACATAAATTACATTTATGTACCATATTGCATGACCGCGCAATTGTCCGGTAAACTAGTACAGCGCTGTATAGCAAAAAAATTGGCGTAAATTGCAGTATCTATACCATAGTTTGTAGACGCTATAACGTACACACAAAGCAAGCAATATACACTTATTGGGATTTTTGTTTACCAGAAACATGTAGCAGAATACATTTTGGCCTAAATTTATAACTAACTTTGAGTTTACTATATATTTTTTATAGCTGAAAGTAAAAAAATATCATTTTTCTTCAAAATTTTTAGACTTTTTTTTTTATAGCGTGAAAAATAAAAAGCGCACAGGTGATCAAATACCACCGAAAGAAAGCTCTATTTGTGTGAAAAAAGGACGTAAATTTCGTTTGGGTGCAGCATTGCATGACCGCGGAATTATCAGTTGAATTAGTGCAGCGCCGAGTAGCAAAAAGAGGGGGGTAAATCCTCAGGAGGGCAAGTGGTTAATATATTTTGGTCAAGCTTTATGAAGACAGATTATTTATTTGCAAAATTTTGTAAGCAAAACACTTTTTTTTCAAAATTTTGGGATTTTTTCATTTATATAGCAAAAAAAAATTAAAATCCCAGTGGTGAATAAATACCACCAAAATCAAGTTCATCTGTCTCAAAAAAAATGCTAAAAAGTTCATATGGGTACAGTGTTGCATGACCGCGCAATTGTCATTCAAAGTGTGATAGCACTGAAAGCTGACAATTTGCCTGGACTGGAAGGGGGTGAAAGTGTCCAAACCTGAAGTGGTTAACATGTCAGAGCCAGGGAACAGATGACAGGAGATGATCTGGCTGAGGCGAGTACACCGCTGGATAATGGGAAAGGTAAGTGGCTGTTTATTAAAAGTCAGTAGCTACAGTTTTTGTAGCTGATAACTTAATTTTTACACAGGAAACTGGAGTTCCTCTTTAAGTCCAATGAGCTGAGAGTACTTCACTCATACAGCAAAGGTGATAAAATGTAACATCCTGACTCCATACTTTGTCAGAGTTTGTGTCTGTCTTTGTGGTAGCTTTGTGTATTATGATGTATTTTGCTATTTACTAATAGGTTAATGATGTTTTTTTTTTCATTTTACCCTGGCTGAATCTCTGGCTGACAGCAAAGATGAGTCAATGGTCATTACGATGCCAACGGGGCTTTCTCCTTTCTCCTGTGATGCTGGGAGGTGGGGAAGGGTTTAGAGTCATATGTGACTGCCGTGATTGGCTGTCACGGCAGTCACATGATTGAAAAGCTCCCAACCGCAAGCAGCGATCGGGACCTTTCTGTGAGGCACTGGAAAATGTGCAAGGAGAGCGCAGGGCGAGCACTCTCAGCATATGTTTTGTTTACGTTGGGTACTCAAATATGCTGCCCCTCTTCGCCAAGGCCCAGCCACCGGGAGGCCACATATTTGCGTACACTTGGCACCATGGAGTTAACAACCAGCACCCCTAAGATGAAAACCCCTTAGTCTCCTGCCCACTTCCAAAAAATGCATGTAGCATGAAAATGCATGAAAAATGAGCACTGTCATACTTAGGGGCAGACTGACCATTTGGAAACACGGACACTGCCCGAGGGCCCGGGGTCAGTAGGGGGCCCCATGAGATGCCCCCTGCTACCTTTTTCATAGGTTTTTTTGAGTTTGGGCAAGGACACAGAGGCCCCATGATCCCCTATTGCCCGGGGGCCCCATGAGTTGTCAGTCCGCCCCTGGTCATACTATAAAATTGCACTGAAAATCAGATCATGTTGCAGCTGCACTACTGTGAACCTAGTCTAAATGACAACACTAAACCAGAACATCAATGGAAAATTAAACAGAAATAAAGCAAGTCCAGTAAAGTACTGTATTTTAATTCATTTACAAACACATTTAAGTATATGTAGATGCAATATTCAAATAACTTATTTTATGAATTTAATCTATACTAGCTACTGAATTCAGAATTACAACATAAATGGTATTTCATATATTTATCAATAGAGGGCGCTTTAGGCTTAAGTATTAAAATTGCTTTTTAGAACAGCAACCATATTTCAGAAGTATTTGAAAAATGATCTGTAGCATTGTATCTTTGAACCATTTATGATGCTAACGTTACAGGTTAAGAAATGGAATGCCTGTGTATATTTATAAGTATAAATAAATGTGATTTTGCACGTTATTTAATGTTCTATACATTTTTTTGAATTTAGATGTTATATTGTGTAAGTGTATACAGTTCAGTGGGTTAGATGTTTTTGTATTCTTCAGATTTAAAGATTAACAATATGACTGGCCTTGTCAGAGTTGACTATTATGTTTTTTTTCCAAAGCTTTTTAGCTGAATTGGTTGCTGCCAAGTATAATTAACAATGTTTACTCGGAGATAGCATAATAGCTAGCATCTTCATCATAAAAAATGTTCAAAGTCAATGTCGCCGCTATCTATGCAGAAACATTGTTATACCATTTGTTCCTAAAACATCTGAAATTCATCATGACAAAGTTGTGCTGATTGGTAAGTCCTTTGAGGCAAATTATAAAAACATATATTTCTGCAAGAAAAAAATGTGCATTTATTATTTTTTCTCTCAGGAACATACAAAGTATTGTACCCACGATCAATGGTTTGCAGGTGCAATGTCAGGCTCCTTCAGACAAGCCCTCCTACTTTCTGCCTGTACCTTTCCTTTCTGTTAGGACTAGTTAACGCAGTAGGAAGGTGTTACTAAGCCCATTCGCAGTTCATTGAAAGTCAGAGGTGTCCCTAGAGTTGGTGTCACCCAGTGTGTTGACAAGTGGTGTCACCCCTCCAGAGAGGAAGGAGCTAAAGTCTGAAATTGGCTTCTTCAGCCTGAAACCGGCACATGCGCAGTTGTTTCAGGGGATACAAATCTTCACAGGAAACTCATTTTACCGCTACACTGGGGGCAGCTGTCACTGTGCCGGGAATCCGGGATCACCCCAATAACTGGCCAGAACCTTCACAGAGCCCAGAAGCTCTGCTGGCATCCTGCTCCTGCACCCCTTGTGATGGTGTCCAGGGGCGGACTGACAACTCATGGGGCCCCCGGGCAATAGGGGATCATGGGGCCCCTGTGTCCTTGCCCAAACTCAAAAAAGCCTATGAAAAAGGTACCAAGGGCATCTCATGGGGCCCCCTACTGACCCCGGGCCCTCGGGCAGTGCCCGAGTTTCCAAATGGTCAGTCTGCCCCTGATGGTGTCACCCGCACCCCCCTAGGGGACGCCAATGAAAGTACAAATCTGTCTGACGTGGTGGAAGATGGGACTTGTAGTTTCCTTATTCACAGATCTGATTTGTGAGGGGGGAACCCCACACAGCCACACCAATGTTCAATATAGCAGGGGCTAGAGAGAGAGGAACCCCTGCCTGCTGTTATGAGGCAGGGTGAGGGTAACATAAGCTGGAACATGTTAAAATATACCCTAAATATAGGTGTAACATGTTTCAAAATGTAAAAGTATCCTTCAATGTATGAACCCACAATCCTTCAATGGTTTGCAGGTGCAATGTCAGGCTCCTTCAGACAAGCCCTCCTACTTTCTGGGGGCTTAGAAAGGTGGGGGTGGAAACAGTGGGCAAGGGGGGGGGGTATCAGCAGGAGGCAGAGCTGATGTTCCCAGTGAAGAACTGCTGAGCAGGGGAGCATATATCAGCACACGTCTCATCATTGAAGGACAGGCAGGCTATTTTCCCAGCACAGCCAGAAAACTGACCACATTGGGATGGATGTGCTTTTTATGCCTAGCAAGGCCAGTGTAAAGTAGGAAAGCAGGGAGACTGGCAGGAACACCAAGTATTTCATACAGAGGAAGAAAAACAAAGAGAACGGGATACGTTTTAGCACAAGTACATAATACAGCAGATATATACAGTATCAGGATTATGTAATGTTGGGGTAAGATCAGGGGCGGACTGACCATTCGAGCACTCGGGCACTGCCTGAGGGCCCGGGGTTAGTAGGGGGCCCCATGTGATGCCCCTGGTACCTTTTTTATAGGCTTTTTTGAGTGTGGGCAAGGACACAGGGGCCCCATAATCCCCTATTGCCTGGGGGCCCCATGAGTTGTCAGTCCGCCCCTGGGTAAGATATACTTTAAGAGTACATTAAGGCACATTTAGACTTGTGGTTGGGGGCAGTATAACTAGGCAACTGAGGAGCATTTTTACAACCCTCAACTTTCCCCCCTTAAGGTGCAAAGGCAGCTGGACAGGTCGGTAGCCCCATGAGTTGTCAGTCCGCCCCTGGTTGGTACTGTCACCAAACACAGCCTATTCAAGTGAATAGAGCTGCGCCACAACTGCCCTGCAACCAGAATGGTTGCATCGTGTTGGTGTGACATATACGGGGTTAAAACATATGGGGAAGAGGTAACCTATCACCTCCTCACCACCTGTCAATTGCCTCTGCAAAGCAATCCACTGGTATAGCAATAATAGCCTTAGAGGGTTACTAAACCTAGGACCCTGCACTCACTATATCTGGTCTCCTACAGTACACAGAACATGGAAATGCAATTATTTTAGTAAATATAAACGGCTAAATACCTTTTCTTATCAGCAGTTAGAGCAGTCTTGTGACTTCCATCAGTGTTCAGCAGAGCACTGGTTAAAGCTTGTAGAAGGAGTTTTCTCTAGGAGGATGCAGAACCCCTGACCTCTGTCTGGGCAGTGCTTACTGGCCCTGTGCTGATCACATGCACTCTCCCAAGAAAAAAAAAAAACCTCTCTAGCACTACACACCAAACTGAGCATGTGCATTCTTCAGACAATATGTCTTATCAGGAGATAACAGGGGGACACTAGAAGAAGGGGAGGATCAGAGAAGTCAGGATCAAGCAGCATTTTTACACAATGCAGAGGATTAACCCCTTAGGTTCCACAGTGAGTATAACAAGCATGCTTTACTGCACATACAGACTGATTTTACTGTTGTGGGTTTAGTAACACTTTAAGGAGCCACCTTATTCCATGATGAATTTCAGTTTAAAGTGGTTGTAAATCTCAGACCTGAAATATGAACAAAGCATATCCTTCTATATTGTGTACTTGTCTCAATGAAGAGAACTCAGTGTCATTTCTTTCTGCTGCCTCGTTTCCTCTGCTATCTGAGTCAAGTTTTCCTAACAAAAGGTGACAGGGGAGGGACCTCCAGCACAGAGTAAAAACGGTGACAGGGGAGGGACCTCCAGCACACAGCCTTCCTCCCCAGCCAGTTACTGTGTAAGCCGTGTACCGGGGTGGGCTCCCCAGGATACAGTGAAGTCACGAAAGAGAAAAGCAACCCCAACACCAGCTTTTGCCACAACAGAATTTTACTTAGATGTGGCAAATAAGCACAACCACAAATGCTGGAAACATACAATAAATTTACATACACCCAGCCCAAAGGCTGAGACCCTTGTGCTGCACAGCACGGCGCCTTCTGATGGATGAAGGTAGAAGGTGTAGTAATTTACCTACTGGCGGGCACAAATAAGCTGCCACACCTTACCTGTTATTACCCTAAAGAGCAGGAATCAGTGTATGGGTGTATGGTATGGGCTAGCCTGCGGTGCAGCACAACAGCTTACAATCTTACACAAATCTATAGTATTCCCCCTCCCATAACTGGTCCTGTAGCACGTGCCTGAGTATTCCTTCTGAGCAAAACGCCAGTCTGGCTTGAGTTTGTAGGATTTTATCAGCTCTCCAATGTGAAATGTCACTTTAAGTTGTGGAGTCCTTCCAATAATCAGTAACAACACTTGTGGCCTGACACAAAAAGAGACCCTAAGTAACTAAATATAGGCCTGGACTCAGTCTCAAGGCGCCAATACTGAAATGAAGTGCGTGCACGATCTTACCGACCCGGGTCTGCTTTTTTCATCTGCTGGTGACTCTGAACAGGACAAATGTCTCTCCAACAAGCATGCGGTCTTGCCGTATATGTTGCTTAGTTCCTCTGCTCTCATCAGCCTTCCTGGCAGCAATTTCATCAGCATTCCTGGCAGCAATCTCATCAGCTTCCTGGCAGCAATCTCATCAGCATTCCTGGCAGCAATCTCTGGTTACTGAGGGACCCTTTCACACCTGGATGTCATCAGATTCTCAGCTCACGCGGCCCCTTATTCACCATGCTCCAAAACATGGCTTCTCTCTCTCCTTCCTGTTCTCTCCAACTCTGTGTGCCAAAACCCCACCTCTTCATGAATATACAAATATCTATGCAGTCTGAGGCTGTTAGAAAAACAGTGACATCTTGTGGCTAAACCGCAGAATGTCAGTCAAAACATTAATTTTCTTCCACACAAACAGTGTTCAAACAATGAGAGCTGTTTCCCATCTCACAACTGGATTACAGGATTTTTTAGGGAGGAGCGCAAGTACTGATTTTTATTGGTAGGCGAGGAAGACATCCATTGCCCTGACCCCTCCAGCAGCCTCTCAAGACATGTCAGATGTCCCATGAGACTGCAGGACCATTCACAGAGCACCATACTGGCTCCCATATCCAAGATGGCAGTGCCAATAACCCACTATGTTAGGAAGAATTGGATGCAGGAAGACAGGGCTCTACTCCAGGCACTGGTAAGTACATGATTTTTAAAAACCAGCTACAGTACTTGCAGTTGCTGACTTTGTGAAACAAACAAACTGAAATTCCTCTTGAATGGCAAAGAAGCACTCAACCTGTCTAATTTCAGGACCAGGTGGGAAGTCACCCATGCACCTACTAAAAGACACAGCGGCTGCAAAGTTCTATCATGAAAATTGTTTATTTGGGCTTGTTTGGCCCAAACAAACTAAAGAGGAATTAAAGTGACACCATGGCCCAGTTCACACTTCACGTAGTGTTCCAATTTGTACTCTATGGGCAATTTTAAAGCGATTTCATGTGTCGCATATAGGGCCACCCATTCCATTGAATGGGCTGCCCTATGTGTGTTTGTTGTGGTAAAGAAGCTCAGGGACCAAATTTTAGCCAAGAGCCATGCATGATTTTACACAGACATTTTGCTGCGATTCTTGCACTTTTTTTGCATGACAATTGTGGCAAAATCGCAATGCATTTGAGATGCCATTCAGCATGACGATTTCTAATCACAATAAGTGTGCACTGGGCCTAAAAAAATTTGATATGTATGTATTCCTAACTAAGAAAAACACCCTTTATTCCTTTCAGCCTCCTCCAAATCTCCAAATTCTTATCTATTTTACTGCTATGATCTGATTTTTCTGTTAGAGGGTGGCTACGTTGGTTCTTCATGGTACCACTGTATGTAGGAATGAAACCATGCTCTATTGCTCTCTTCCGTGATGAAGTATGGACTATGGGATTTGTAGTGTGCATAGAGCAGTGCTCACGACCATCACTAATGTACACTGTTTATTCCAGAGGGGGAAAAGGAGAGGTTAGTGAGCTCATGGAGGACATTACAAAGAGGGGGAAAAACACACAAATGAAACATTTTCATGAAAAATAGATTACAGAGCCTCTAAGTAGTGGATATCCATGCAAAAAGAATAATGTTTAATGAAACTTTAAAATGGAATTCTACTTTAAAGCAGATGCTATCCTAATGATGAACTCCTCCTATTTGCACCCTATTGTTCTGTTAAATCTGCCATTGCAAGCATTTTGTTTTATCTGTTCACTAAGTGCAAAAATACCTGTTGATCTTGCCAGAAATTGTGTGAGCTGTTAACCTCCTGTGCTCTTTCTTTATGCTGCAGTATTATTAGTTACATTGGTCCCAGTTATCTCTGAAGACCACAAAACTCCTTCTGTTTGAGTTATGAAGAATAAGAAGAGGCTTCTGTAGCCCTGTTGTAGGCAGGTGCGGGCATTCCTCCCATCTGTAGGTGGCACTATGCTGCAGGTGGAGAGGAGTTTGTTAAGAAAGGTGTCCCCTTAATGACTCCATCAGTCTTCTTAGGGAAGTCTGTTGTCTAGTTGGTTGGTGAAATGCCTTGAGATCTCAGGCAGTCATCTTGATGAGGGAGCTTATAAATAGGGTGAATGGCATCGTTTGGGCATGGTCAGGAACAGGTACCAGCTGGTTAGGGAAAGAGAACAGTGCAGGGAAAGGCTCCTGATGAGTATGGACAGCTTAGGGAGAACTTGTTCAGTGTGAGGTACTGCCCGGTGTCTGGAATAGGAGAGAGAGGCCTCCTCATTTGGTGGAAACAGTACCACCCTGGAACAACATATACCACCTCCCATCCATCAGAAGTTGACCTCTGGTAATACAAACTAAAAGGCAGATAACAAAGTGACATCACAAATTCTGGATTGCCATATACCAATGCCCACAGAACTGTTTAGGTTTGGTACTAGCAACCTGTACAGATTATTACAAGTTATTTCAGTGCACTAAAGACTTTGGAGTTTATTTACTAAAACTGGAGAGTGCAAAATCTGGTGCAGCTCTGCAATAGAGGCCAATCAGCTTCTAGGTTTTTTGTCAAAGCTGCTACAGGGCAGCCGCTCAGCACAAAACCACATAAATGTACGTGATTAAGCAGTTCCAGGTAGAAGGCGCACACTGCCCTACCTGCAATGCCATTGGTTGCAGTACATGTCAATCACCGGGTCCTAGCTGGCGATTCTTGGCCGGCGCTCGGTGATCGCCACTAAAGCTGAGAGTGGAGAGATCTGTGTATAAACAACACAGATCTCTCTCCTGTCAGCATAGACATGCTGCTTTCTCTCTCTCTCTCTGCAAAGCAGCATGTCTCCCTAGTAAAACAGTACACAGTGTAAGCCCAACACAACACACAGTTAACCCTTTGATTGTCCCAGATGTTAACCCCTTCCTGCCCAGTGTCATTAGTACAGTGTCAGTGCTTTTTATTAGCACTGATCACTGTATTAGTGTCACTGGAGATGTCAGTGGCCATTAGTGAGTTCCCAACCAGTGTCAGAATGCCTTCCACAGTCCCTCAGTCCCACTATAAGTTGCTGATCGCCACCATTACTAGTATTAAAAAAATAACTAAAAATTACAGCATATACCGTATACCCCCAATTATAGACGCTATAACTTTCACGTAAACCAATTAATTTACACGTATTGGAATTTCTTTTTAGCAAAGACATGTACCAGAATAAATTTTGGCCTAAATTTATGAAGAAATTTTATTTTGTTTATTTTTTACTGGAAACCTTTTATAGCAAAAAGTAAAAAAAAAAATTTTTTTTTTCAAAATTGATGGTCTTTTTTTGTTTTTAGCACAAAAAATAAAAATGCAGAGATGATCAAATACCACCAAAAAAACTCCATCTGTGAGAAAAAAAGGACATACATTTAATTTATGTACTGCGTTGCATTGCATGACCACGCAATTGTTAGTTAAAGTAACACAGTGCCATATCACAAAAAATGGTCTGATCAGGAAGAGGGGGTAAATCCTCTGGAGGGCAAGTGGTTAAATGAATAATCTGGCGTTAGAAAGTAAGTAGCTACCATGCACAGCGGCACCAGATTTTGCAGTCTCTGGTTTTATTAAATCAACCCCTTTGTGTGTGTTTGCTTCCTCTCTGGATACCTTGCGTGAGGCTTTCTCACACTGTCGAAGGACACAATGCTGCATCTTTATCAATGTAGTACAGTAAGTCAGGTCTCATGCACAGTGGCCTTAAAAACCACCACTTTTACAGGTTTTTGTGTTTTTTTTCCAGTCTGTAAAAGCACCACTATGTAAACTTGTGTGTCTATGCACACATAGAAGCGGAGTGCTAAAAAAAACCCCCAAAACAAAAACACCAAAAGCACATAAAGAAGAGCCGACGATCAGGAATGTGCCTAAACACGTGCAAACACTGTAAAACATGCCCAAACGCTGGACATAGCTAACGTTTAAACCTTAATGTATTCCAATAGCCACAATAAATTAATATTCTGGTCAAAATGGAATCCACTCACGCTCCAATGCTTGATGTGTCTAAACACGTAATACGAATCTTTTGTGGCATTTTTTAAGCAGCTTTTCTCCTGCTAAGAGTTCTGACATTCAGAGGGGGTAAATAGATGCCCTGTGTGCATAAGGCCTAATAGTTGTTACTCTAGTACAGGAAGTATATTACTGTCCAAATCACCCCATGCAACCAAAAGAAGAAACGTTGAAAAAGAAAACTAATCATCTAAGCATCAGTTAACTGCAATATGTATACTGTATATTTTTTTTGTTCTTTTGCTTTAATAATTCAGTCATGTTTAGGTTGCCACTTTCCTTATGGAAAAATTATCAGCCTTATAATCAATTACCTATTAATGGTAGTAAGTCTTATTTTTAGGCAAAATGATATCTTTTATAAAAACGATGGACATGTGATTGCTTTGCTAAGAGAACATTCTTCAATTCTTCAGCAAATAAGTTAATTTCTGATTTAAGTGTGTAAACTCAAACAATAAACCTCTCTTATTTGATCCCCTTTGGCATTTTGATCTGGTTGGTGTTTTGTTTATTAAATTAAAAAAATCAGTTGATTCTGCCAGAAAATCGTCTTGGGCACTACCTCTGTATCAGATAACATTGTTCTCAACTCTCTATGGACAACAGAACACCTCATCCTATGTTATGGAGAAGAGATATCGTAGTGCTACCTCCTAAGGAGGCGCTGAGTATTGGGTCCCCCTATTTCTCGCACGACCAGGCAACACAAATTTTTAACAAGCACGCAAAGTCAAGAATCCAGTCCACTGGCTTGTTTTTTTTTTTTTTTTTTTTAGGGGAAAACAATTTAGAGTAGATAGAGTTTTAGGGTTGTGGGATTACCAACTTGACTAGAAGAAAAGATTGAGGACAAACTTACTGCGACTATATAAAAAAATATGAATCCTGGACGTTACTCCAGACAAAGTGGTATCAGTCCCTTTTAAGGATCAATAACAAAGTGACTTCAGGAGCAATATGACTTAAGGAACGCTAGGTCCCCTTGGGTGAACTCTCACAAAGTCTCAATAGCTGGCGAGGGAATCCACCTGGCTGCTTTGCAAGTGTCACAGAGCAAGGGATTAGGTTAGCTGTGACACTGTTCCCGTGAATTTATAGTTACATAGTTAGTTTGGCTGAAAAAAAAAACAAAAGTTCATCCAGTTCAACAATTAAAAAAAAGTTATAATCTTATACCCACAGTTGATCCAGAGGAAGGCAAAAATCCCAGCAAAGCATGATCAAATTTGCTGATCTGATCCCTCGAGAGGCAATCGGATATTCCCTGGATCAACTTTACCTATAAATGTTAGTATCCAGTTATATTCTGTGTATCTAGTAAAGAATCCAGGCCTTTTTTGAAGCAATCCACTGAGCTGGCCAGAACCAACTCTTGAAGGAGTCTATTCCACATTTGCACAGCTCTCACTGTAAAGACACCTTTCCATGTTTGGAGATTAAATTTCTTTTCCTCCAGATGTAAAGAGTGCCCCCTTGTCCTCTGTGATGACCTCAGGGTGAATAGCTCTACACCGAGTTCACTATATCATGCTGGATATTGCATCTGGCAGCCTTCTCCCTTTTTTGCCCTGAGGGTGTAGAGGTACTCACTCTGTCCCTTGTGTCCTGCAGATTGACATAAGAATGCTTGTTCAGGTCTGTTAGCTGTGCTACTCTTCCATGCTGAGCAGGGTACCCTCTGGATAGGGCTTGTGGTGCAGTTCCTTCTGTCTCACTTCTTCTCCTTCATTCCTTCCTCCTCAGCTCCAGCCTGGAGTCGGAGACCCCCTTCCCCAGGGTCCCCTCCCAGGCCTCACGATCCTCAACACTCCATCTTCCATCCAATCACCAGACACCTCTGCTGGCTAGGCTCTCTCATATTTATGGGCCCATCTGCCATACTGCTCGGCCTCCTACCTGAAATTGGTCAAATTTAAATCTGTAATTGGTGCTACAGATAGTTTCCTGTAGTTTGGTCTTAGGGTGACAACTCTATAGATAAAGTATGGTGAGTGATTGTTGTTTTAAAGCTGAACTCTAGGCAAATATAAAAGACCCAAATGAATGTAGCTCTGTAGCCATTAACACACCATGTTTTAATGCAAGCAGTGTAAGTATCTGGATCAGACTTGGTATCACCTTTGGCAATCTATTGTACAGTCTGTACAGCTGAGCTCAGAGAGCGGAGGGAGAAGTGGCACAAGAACCTATTCAGTTGTGCTGCAGTGCAAAGAGCATGCTGATAGGAGGAGAGAAAAAAGTGTCTGAGAGATGAGCTCATCAGTGTACTACTTCTTCTTTCACTGTCAGAGTAAGTGTCATGTTTCACATGACTGTCATATGCCTTTAAGTGTTCTCTGTATTTTGGCTCTTTCCTTTAGTTTAATTAATGCTGTATAGATAGCCCACCCTTTCTCCCAGTAAGGCATTGCAGCCTCTAGCCTCATGTCATGAAGCAGATCACATTATGATCTTTTGACCTATCCAATGTTCATTGTTGTAAGATTCTCTGTTTATTTATTTCAGGTACTTATATAGCGCTGTCAATTTACACAGCGCTTTACATATATATTGTACATTCACACCAGTCCCTAACCCTCAAGGGGCGTACAGTCTAAGGTCCCTAACTCACATTCATATATACACATACTAGGGGTCAATTTAGGCAGGAGCCAATTAACCTACCAGCATGTCTTTGGAGTGTGGGAGGAAACCAAACTTCACAAGATCTACAAGATGTCTTCTGGATTGAGTCACTGCCTGTGATATTCAACTAAGTTTGGAGTTATTTCTATCTCATCACAACTGTAAGTTAAAGAGATCACACTTTCAGTGCTTAGATTGGAGAGACAGAACAGTAAGGGACCTGTAAATAAAAGTGAAACTGCAGCAGGGAAAGGTCAGGGTCACTCCCTTATTAGACAGGACTGAGTTGTTGGACAGAGGTGTATAAATCTTAGGACTGGATGGACAGAATCCTTTGGCAGGTAAAACAGCTTACATATAAGTATTCCACTTGTGTGTTTAGCTGTTTGCCCGAAGTTCAGCTTTTACCAGTATTTATTTTCCTACTACAGCCATGATTTTCTAGTTAAGATCTGGAAGCTGCTATCCCATTGTCTGATAATAGTATAGTCGTGACAAGGGCACTTTCATAACCAGCAGAATGTAGGTGAATCATCAGCTTCCAGGCTTTATTATCAAAGCTTAAATGAACAAGCTGAAATTAGAAGCTGATTGGTTGCTATGCACAGTTCTACCATATTCTTTGTGCTCCAGTTTTAGTAACCCCGTTCCCCCCCTTCCTGTTGGAGTTTGGCACAGGGATACTGTGGTATAAGACAGCATTGAATATGAAAGTATACTTTATCGAAACTATACATGTTGTTTCAGAGCAGCAACCGATTAGATTCAAACCCAAAAAGGAAAATGGCAAGTAGAGAATAAATATTTTAATTTGGTTGGTATGTGTGATTGAGGCAGTTAAAAATCACTTTCAGCCCTGGTTCACACATATGCATGCTGAAATTACAATCCAATGTATGCATGCATTTCTGTGTGAATAGCATAGTGGTTTGAGTGAGAATTCACCAGAGGTGCGATTCTGGCTTCTGCATTTCTATTGACTTCTATGCAAAATTGGCTTCCATTGACTTCAATACAAAAAAGCCTTCCACTGACTTCAATGCAAAAACGCATTTTTTCCACAGGATGTAACATGTTGTGTGAATGGGGAGAGAATCCTGTCATTCATCCGCCTGTGCCCTGTTCACAGAACTTGTTACAGAAACCATCAGCCCACAGGACATTTGATGCACTTCATTATAGATAAGTTATCTGACTGAAGCTGTAGCAAAAATAACAAAAAAAAACAAAGTAACTAAACATCAAATAATGTCCACTGCTGTGTTTTCATAGATTTAAAGTGATACTAAACCTAAAAACATTTTTTACCTTAATGCATTGCTTGTCTTAAAGTGATTCTAAAGGTTTGTTGTTTTAAAGAAAAAAAATAACAAGCAGCTTGCTATGGGGGCACCCGCTACTCCGTGTGTCCATTCACACACGGAGCCGCGGCTCGGCCCCACCCCCCCCTCTCTTCTCATTGGCTCACTAGCTTTAAGATAAAAAACATTTTTAGTACCCCTGTGTTCCCCCTTCCCTGTGTGAAGTGAAAGCAAGGGGAGAATAGATCAGTGCTGTGCACAGCTACATCTCTTTTCCCCTCACTCCCTCCTCATACAGGGACTCAAACAGCAGCAGGAGCCATTGGCTCTTGCTGCTGTCAATCAAATGTAGTGAAGAGGAATTGAGAGCAAGGCTAAGTCCCGCTGTGTGTGTCTATGAAGTACAGCTCTGTAAACACACAGGACGGGCGTGAGCACACAGCGCGTGTCCCCATAGCAAACTGCTTGCTATGGGGACACACAAAGAAGATGAGGAGCCAGGATCGTCAATGGGGAACTGAGAAGAGGAGGATCGGGACCACTCTATGCAATACCACTACATAGAGCAGGTGAGTATAACGTGTTTGCTATTTTAATTTAAAAAAATTCTGGATTTAGTAACACTTCAAAGTAAGAAAGAAGAAAATCAGGTAGACTTCAGATACATACACAACTTCAGATACATACACAGAAACATTTCGTATGATGCAGCACTTTGGTTTAGTTTACAGTTATTGTAATTTTTATTGACACACCTTACCTAAAGGCTTTTTATATGTATAATCTCTCTTTCTTAACCACTTACCCTCCAGAGGATTTACCCACCTTCCTGACCAGACCATTTTTTTGCGATACAGAGCTGTGTTACTCTAACTGACAATTGCGCGGTCATGCAATGCTCTACATAAATTAAATTCATGTCCTTTTTTCTCACAAATAGACCTTTTTTTGGTGGTATTTGATTGCCTCTGCATTTTTTTATTTTTTGCGCTATAAACAAAAAAAGACCGACAATTTTGAAAAAAACCCCCCAATATTTTTGACTTTTTGCTATAAAACATATCCAGTAATAAAATTTTTAAAATCAAATTTCTTCATAAATTTAGGCCAAAATGTATTCTACTACATGTTTTTGATAAAACAAAATCCTAATACATGTAAATTAATTGGTTTCCATGAAAGTTGTAGCATCTACAAATGACGGTATAAATACAGGCATTTTTATTTTTGTTATACTAGTAATTGTGGCAATCAGCGACTTATAGCGGGACTGCAGTACTGGCATTCTGACACTGGGTGGGAAATGACTAACTGCCACTGACATCCCAATGACACTAATACAGTGATCAGTGCTATTGACACTAGGCAGAAAGGGGTTAACATCTGGGGTGATCAAAGGGTTTGCTGTGTGCAGTTTTACATAATGTGCTGTGTGTGTGTTTTAATAAGGAAACATGCTGCTGTGTATTTCTCTGCTGTGCAGAGAAATACACAGCAGCATGTCCTTGCGGGCAGGAGAGAGACCTGTGCTGTTTATGCACAGGTCTCTCACCTGTCAGTTTTACTCGGTGATCAATGGGCGTTGGCGGGGAATCTCTGGCCGGGACCCGGTGATTGTCATTTGTAGCTGCCAATGGTGGTGCTGGTAGTGCACCGCATGCACGAGCCCCCTACCTGGAAATGCAAATCATGTATTTATATATATATATACATGATTTTGCACAGCCATGCCACCCTGTAGCAGTACTTCTACTATAGGCAGTCAGGACCACTAACACTGTGATTTAGCAACAGTTTGTCCCTGCTATGCATCTTCACTGTCATGTTGATTTATAACATGATGAGACAGATATGCTTTAAGACCTATATTCCATGCAGATTTAGGATTATATATATTTAAGTGTCAATCAATTTTAATAGGTAAAGCAAAAGGGTTCAGATAAATAATAGATATGTGATTTGGTTAAAAACAAAAACAAAATAAAACAAAACGTTGTACCAATTTCTGCTCAGAAACTGTAAAATATAATGAAGTATAATATGAGAAAACAAAACCAGTTTCATTGATGATGATGATGATTATACCTATAAAAACATTGCATGTCAAACCTTACCAATTGAGCACCCTAACATATTACTAGTGATAATATGTAAAAGTTCCTATATGTAATATAAGTGCTTGCTAACTTGACTCATTTACAGGGGGGTAATATGAGACAAACAATCTCTTTGAAATATGACTAAATGCTGAACTGTAATATCTAGAAACTTCCATTTCATAGTTGTTCTTGCATATTTTTTTAAAATGTTATCTCAATGTTAATTCTTTACCTGTTAATGGCCTGGCTGTCTGTTCATGAACTGGCTCCTGCCAAGCTGTCTGGCTGCAGAGTGTTAATATAGACATTGGTTGGGGAAGGAAAACATTCTAGCCATGTTCCACCCACTCAGAATCATCCACTAAATGGTGTGTGAAAGTAATGTTGCTATGGATGGAAAATGGGTGTGTGCCACTGACTGCATTATTCTACCCCACAGGGGCATCTCCAGTGGCCACAGACATTCCCATTTTGCAATGAATGCCTTGCCAGTAAGGAAAACTGCAAGTTATTAAAATATAAGGTCTTGCATTTCACTGGTAATTATTAGATGTCATTGTATAACTGGGCTTCTGATATATAGCTTTTTTGAGATGACTATAGATAATCTTTAAAGAGAACGCATATTGCCTGCTTCACTAAGGTTTTTAATTTAATTATTGGCTTGTTTTAAAGTGAAAACTATTTTTCCAAATAACGTGATTCACTGAAATGTTCTTGCTACATATATTTTTTGCATGCGCAACTTAATTGGGCGAAAAGTTTGTACTTGCAATTTTGCATGTGTTAACGGGACATGTGCTGATTTATTAATACACTTTAGGGGTGAAATTTAAACAGAACAGTTTCATCTGATCAAAGCATGTGATATTTAATGGTTGGTAAGTGAGATGGAGACTTTATGGAAGTTTAGGAAGAGTTTCAGTGACTACAAAGCTGGATCATTGCTAGTTTTCCAACACAAGTTTACTATTATATTTGAATTTACATTGTACTTGTAAACTTGTGATTCTTGTTTAATGCACTTGTCTTGGGGTGTTTTATTTTTCATAGTCTGAGCTGTACAGTCTAATGTAGGTTATTCAACATTAGCTTAACTCATGTCAAGCAAGCAAATATTTTTCCCTCTTTAAATCTTTCTGTCATTATCAAATTGTGTTCTAATTTGTATTGCCTTCTCAAGGGTACTGTACTGTATGTTTTCAAGGGTACCCATGCTCACCATGGCTCCTGACACTTGTCTAGCTGCATCAATGAAAGGTTAACAATCAGGCTTCATGAACACTCTTTCATCCATTTATCTGTTTATTTCAATGTTTTCTGGCATTTGCGTGTTCAATAGTGAGTGTAAACGGGGCCAGTTCGTATAGGAAAGGTTTTGCCACAACAGCTCATGGGAGAGGAATTTCTGTCTGTGAAAACATTTGTGAATACAGTGCAAATGTGTTTAAGAAGTTTTTTTTTTCAGATGGAAATGTTCATATTTTGTTGATGAAATTACTCTGGATAGTCTGTTCAGTGTTTTTTTTTTTTTAAATACACATGTAAAAGGGCAATTTTGGTATGTTTTTAATGTTTTAAAAGCCCTTTTTTCTATATATGGTAATAATTCTTTTAAAAGACTGTTCTATGAATCCATAATTATATGGCTCACAGGGATGGCCATATTTTCACATTAAATGTGCAAATGCTGTTTCCTGCTTTGTAATGTTATGCGGTGTATGTGCTATACTGCATCTTCTCACCAATTAGCGAACTCATATGATTGGTATTTTATCTCAACAACAGAAAGCAATAGCGTGTTTTTTTGTGTGTGTCGTGTTAACTGAAATGTAATTTCCTGCCAAACGTGACTGCAGCAATATAGTGTGTAACTGCCCCCCCATCCTTTCACCACTGGATTTCCATTAGGCATATAGAAGAATGCACTTCTAAAAGAAAGGGAGCTACTTTCAAAGTCAGAAGGGTGGGATGGGGATTTTTATGCTAGGGTAGAACATAGCAATAAAGGTGAGGGATTACTGTATCAGTTTCGTATTTAGTCCCACTTTAAATTTT